CCCCATCACAAACCCTCCAAGATAATCAGGATCTTCGGGACTGGAGGGGGGCTGAAAATCCTAAAGGTTCTGAAGAGATGAAGATTCTGAATGTCGGTAGCCCCTCCCCCCCTTCCCCCCAACCCAAACCTGATTTTTTATCCCCGTGTTTTTTTTTTTTCTCTTTCTGAAGAGCCTGAACTACGAAGATAACCTCTACTAACCTGAAAATATATGCATCTCTTAGCTTTCTGTAATTGCTTGGGGAGGGTCTCACAAGAGCTTTGTGGAAGCCTAGAAGGGAGTGGTTTAACTGTTCTAAGAACAAACGATGAGAATTCAGCATGCTGTAATGATAGAACTTTTGTAATGTGCTGCCTCCAAAGTCCTGGTGCGAAAATTCAGCTTCGGGGTCTTTGAACTTCGCGATGCAGCTTTCGCCTTCACCCTTTGCATGGCTGCGGGTTGAGTCTGACTTGGCATTGTCAATCATTTAATAAATTTCCGCATTGCTTTTCTGCGCACGAAGCCGAAAATGTGTGCACCAGTGTGTGTGCATGTGCAAAGGCCCGCCGACTCCCTGCACATCCCTTCTTGCCTGCGTCCTTCCCCCTTTTTGATGATTTCACCCCTCCTTCTTCCATCGCTTTGTCTTCCTTCCCACCTCCTTGCCACACTTTCCTGGCTGCACACAAGCTGATCAGATCGAGGTGTGCGAGGGGTGTCCCGTACTCGAACTAACCCCTGCAGCTGACAGGGAGATAGAGACCAAGACAATTGTGGCCACAATGAAGGTCACAGTGACGACAATGCAGACAAAGAGAGTAGTACCAATATCAAAGACCAAGGAAACAGATGAAAACAAAGGTTGGAATAAAGATCACGACGTATGCAGAAGAAGACTTGAGTAAGATGGAAAAAAACTCAACCAGCTTTGATCACCTGTTCACTGTCGGTCAATGATTTCTCGTTAGGCAAGAGGTTCCGATGGCACCACGTTACAACAATAATGCGCCCTCCGGGAGCCACAACTCGTACAAGCTCTCCCATAAACTGCAGCAATCAGACAATAGCACTGCCGTCAACACGGTGGTTCTAATTAGCGGAGGCAGCGAGGGGAGAGGTGGGATGGTAGGAGGGGTACGAGGTGGAGGAGACTGGGAGGGTGAAGAAACAGCAAGAACCATCATCATCATCATCATCATCATCATCATCATCATCATCATCATCAACTTCTCAATTCTTATTTCCCTGTTCTTTTCTATACTTGAGGTTGCAAAAATCCTCCCCACAAGGTTGCTGACATCGAGAGCAGGATGGATTCAGTGGGGAGAGCTCTTTTCCGCAGGGGAAACACAAGGTGGGAAGTGTTTGCCTATAGGGAATAAGGCCGGACAAGGGGAACTGTTTAACTCTGGGGCTGGGAGAGATGGAAGGCCGAACATCGTCTACTCGCAGTGGCAGAGTAGGACAGAGATAGCTTGAGGAAAGCTTTTTGGGGAACAACCTTCTTCGAGGGGAGTAGGGTAGAGGGAGGATTTCCTATTGCTGTGGCCGTGAGGAACCGCTCAACAGCAGAATGGTTCTGATTAGCGGAGGCGCCAAGGGAGATGAGGGGTGGTAAGAGGGGAAAAGAGGAGGGGTGGACAGATGAGGGTCAATCAACAAGATTCAACATCAAATATCATCATCACCATAATCATCATCATCATCAGATTGGTTGTTTGCTCATGATCCCACTATTATCAGATCCGCGTTCTTAGGTGACATTCTAGTCTAGCTGATTTCCCTTTTCTTTTTTTTTCTTTTTTTTCCAAACAGGTCCTTATGGCCCTGGCTCCTTTTCCATTCTGGGGAGTGTCAGTCCGGTTCCTATTCCACCGGCAAGTCAAGAATGAAATTCAATGAATACATCATAAAACCCACTCACGCATCCTTCCGTATGGCGGAAGGATCCCTGACCAGCATTGATTGCTCCTTAGCTGATTTCCTAATTAAGCTTTTATTGTGCTTTTTCCCAGGTTGAGTAGAAACCAGAATGACGCTGGCCAGCGCTGGTGCATCACCCTGTAACCGTCATAGGAGCTTGAGGCCTTGGATAGAGATCTGGGGATTGCTGAGGGTGGAAGGCAATCACAATACTTGACCAAAGGCTACAATCTGGCCGACGAGGATCGGCACTAGTATGTGAGTTCTGAGTAGATAAGCATGCCGAGTAGTCAGCATCAGTCGCTAGCTTATTATCTCAATCATCCTGAAGTGTTCCTGAATCATCCCAAATTTTCATCAATCATCAATCTATTCCAATTATAAGGGACATTGGGCCCGGTTCCCAGCACGTGATGCTCCCCATGAACAGATTGGAGCATTTTCAATTACAAAAAAGAAAAAAAAGCATGTAAGTTCTTCCTCCTGAGATGCATTCACAGCTTCCTTTTCAAAATACATTCCTGTTCTCTTTCGCACCTCTGTTCCAACTGAAGCTCAACAGAATCAGCAGCCAACATGAAAACGGACGATGAAGTCCTCTATTCATTGAGCCCAGAATATTTTTCTTTTAGCTTTGTTCTTTAACTTTTCTGTTTACTTTTTTATTGAGCCCAAATCATCAGAAGACCTCACGACAAAATGCAATGAGAGATCACTCTGAATTGCCACTCTTCGAGTCTGTTGCATGCCTCCACCTTAAAGTTGAAAATTCTGAAACTGTATGAAAAGTGTTAGCATGCATATTTACAACTGCTGCTCTATTTCTAGGAAGAATCCACGGCACCCACCCACTGCATCCGAAAACAAGAACGCCTTCCCAGAGCCATTCACATACATACATACATAGCATCTGCAAAAGGACCTCCATAGTTGTGCATCTGATAGCACTTGCCTTTCGCTTGTCAGGCATGTGTTCGCCACTCTCTAGGGACCAGACTAAGTCAAATTCACTGTCTGCAAAGGGCTGCTTCATTGCATCTGCAACAAGAAATGAAACCTGGATGTTCAAGCACAGAAATGAAAAAAGGCAACGATCAGATCAGGGCATGGGAAACCACAAACACAGCCGAAATCCGTATATAAATTATAATATAATTATTATAATATATATTTCTTCTCCCTCTCTGCCTACGGTTTACCGGGCAGTTCTATTTGACGATATATTCTGCCTCGGCCATCAGGGGAAAAAAGAAAAAAGAAAAAAAAAACTTGTCCAAGACCAAATTGGCCCACCAGACCAGTTTGCGAATTTTGGCACAGCAGATTTTTGGCTCAGTCAATGACAGTCATGCCAATTTTGGCATTTGTTTCCGGTCACAGGCCCTAAATTGGATACCAAATTTTATGTCAAACAAAGGAAGAGGTTTGGGAAGACATACTTTATGTCAAACACTTCTTGGGAAACAAATTTTATGGTCAGACAATTTTGGCTGAAATGTGCCTAGGCTAAAACCCAAACACATCTCCTTGGTAGGAAATACTAGAAACTTGCCCAGGAGAAGGCCATCGGGCCGAACAGATTTTCTTTGTGTGGACCTCACCCTACCGGAGGTGCCACCAGTGCTCCCCCCTGGCCATATTGAATGACAAGCCAGCTCCCAGGATCCAGGTTCGAGTATCCTCTGAAGGCCCTCTCTCTCATACTTCTTTTTCTTTTTTGAAATACTTGCCAGGCTGACTATAGGGGTTGGTACGAGCAACTCCCCCTAGCGGCCTTGGCAAAGGGTGCTTCGGTCTATTGGTGGGTAGCTTCACCTGCTGGAAATGGGGTCCAGCGTCCCAGGTACAACAGCTATGTCATTTCTGTTTCTGAGAATTCGATTGCCCTCGCCCAGGTTGGCAGAATTGATTGCCCTCCCAATGGCTGGGGATTGACCAACCATGCCCGGGGAGGGTTCGTCCTACAGCCTCCTCAGCCTAATTGGCCGCCAGATGGAAAGTAGTGTCACTGGCTGGCATTGAGTTGACCCCTGGGCCACAGTCTGTGCCCCGATTTGAAACGGTTTCACCCAGTTGACCCGACATTTGCAGACACAGAGATTCGATCCCTAGACCTGTGCCCGAGCCTTGTACATTGACCCTGTGTGCTGAGTGAGATTCGATCGCTAGACCTACCCTGTACCCTGTACAGAGACCCAGTGATCTGTGTGGGACTCGATCCCGTGACCTGTCCTATCCCTAGGCTAGTCTGTAGGTCGGATAGGAGGACTCGATCCCCCTGTAGATTAGGAGTTCGGTCTGTTCTCGTTAGGCTTAGGAAGGTCTGTTCTAGAAGTCTCTATCTGAGTCTACTGAGGCCTAGAGTCTGTCTGTAAGTCTATAGGCTCTAGAAGGTCGTAGGTCCCTGTAGGCCAGTCCAGTCAGCAAGTACCAGGGGTAGGGGCTGCACGTGGGGAAGGTTCTGGACCATGTGGTGGGTTCCACGCGTTTTGGCCCAGAAGGCCAAACGTCTGGAAGCTTCCCTGGGCCACACGTTTTGGCCCAGGCCCACACGTTTTGAGGCAGGCCCGGGTACCTCCGAAGAAGTATAAATAAAGAGGCAGCGTCCAGTCATTCATTCATTCGCCTGTGAGCCATGCGGAAGAGCTGCCTTGGTATCTTGTGTGTGGAGGTCTGCAGGTGCCCGGAGAGGAAGTGGGTAGTGAGGAAGACAGCGGCCATAGCTGGCCAGTGAGGAAGACACCGGCGGCCATAGCTAGAAGGAGGAGGGCGACGGCGGCCATCGCCGCCCAGCTGTTGGTGCAGACAGAGTATAGAGAGTGTGTGTGTCTGTGCTGTGTGGACATTCAGGGTGATCCTCGTACGTGTGTGCATGAGGGGGAGTGAGGCTGGTGGTTGAGACACTGTTCAGCAGCCATAGCCGCGAGTTGTACAGTTGTATTGAACAGAGTTCAAGTGCAAGTTCGTTGTTGATTCTGAGTTGACGAGTTTGGTTTTGCCATCAGTTCTCGTGTATGCATGTTGGAAGCAAGTTTGAAGTCGAGTCTGATTGCAGATTGCAGTACTCAACCTATTCCTTTGTTGTTGGATGTGGCTGTCCCAGCTCCACCGCGTGTGCCGTCAGTTGCCTCCATACCATGGCGGGAATAGATCCGAGAAGTCCGAGGCAGGTCGTAGCGTCCCTTATATACCGCTTCTGTCTTCACATCTCAGCTGTCCGGCATCAATCGCTAGTTTAGGGTTAAGCCTGCATCATCAGTTGCCCTGTACGACTGTCTTCACCCAAATAGAACACCTGAAAGTTGTGCCAAATCCAGCTAGTAAAAGGACCTTTACCCGATATAGGCCTCAGGCCTTGTAAAAATAGAGCAGCACGGGCCTTGTAAAAGTAAAGCATTGTGAAAAGGTATCTTGCCAGGGCTCAGAAACGTGAAAACAGGTCAAAGGTCAAGTTCTCTATCAACAGGCACATCTAAATCTAAGGCAAAGGGCATTGTCAAAGGGCTTACCTGTTCACCAGGAGATGTGTATGTCATGTCTGTTCGGGTAAGGGTGTGTCTGTACGTGCAGGCAGTGTACCTGTTCGTGCAATGGAAAGTGCCTGTTCCAGTAGTAAATGTGTCTGTTCGTTTAGAGTTGTGCCTGTCCGAAAGTGAAGTCAGTAGGCACAGTCCCAGTTCTGGTCTAAGTCAAGGGKTCAGTCCAGATCCAGACTTTCAAGTCCAAATCCAGGCCGAAGTGCCTCAGCAACAGTTGAACCTCATTGGGACTGTACTGGGACACATGCAATGCAGGGTCTGGGACAAAGGGAGAGGCTGAATTGAGCCAATGCAGACCCAGCGAGGGGTGGCCAGCACTAATAAAAGAGCTGCCTGCCTCATTCCTCGCCAGATCTCCACTGGCTGCAATGCGTGGAAGTGCTGGTGCACTTGTGCGCTGAGTCAGAAGGAGCAGCGCTGGAGGAGAAGACGCGCTGGAGGGAGGAAGATGCCTGTACGCTGGAAGTGATGCAGCCATAGCTGCCSARYGAGTTAGYATTAGTAGTAGAGGGTTAGTATGTAGCTATGMGTAGTATCCAGAGTAGATCCTCATGAGTATTRAAGAGTGTGTATGCATCATAGGAGGAAGGGATTGAGGCTGAGAGTGTTCATTCAAGGTTTGGCTATGGAAGATACTTACCTGAGTTGGATGTGACCTGCAGAGGTGGCGCTGATGAGTAGTGACCACATTGATGACTTGGAGACTATCTGCAGGGGTAGCACTGATTCACTGGAAGTCATATTGATGAGTTGGCAAGATATTGGTGTTGCGCTGATGAGCGCTGGACTCAGGGGAACTTTGAAACACTTTGTATTCATATTTCTGATAATATAAGCTGTGAAACTCGGYCCTCATCTTCTCTATCTTTGTCTATGGTTGAGACTATTGATCATTGTGTGTGAAGATGATGCATGACATGTACACATCTGCGTGAGATGGTCCCCAGGACCCATGCAATTTTTGGTATCGGAGCAGATGCTCGCTACACTCATAGCGCTGGTCTGATCAAGGCCGGCGAGAAGAAGTGGTGAAGGAGGTATAGTGAAGGAGGGAGGAAGAGAAGAAGAGTTTTGTAGTGGGGGGAAGCAGGTCGAAGAAGAAGTGACGAAGTTACTTACCTGGAGTGTGCGGAGCGTCGTGGAGCATCATCGGCGGTATCTTCAAAAAGAGAGAAGCACCTCCTTTCCCTGAACCTGCATGCATGTGTGTGTCCCCTACCTTCTCTCTCTCTGACCCTCTGAAGGTGACTGCTGCTGATCTGGTCAGGAG